AGGTATGCGAATGAGTATGGTTCATGCACAAATGTTCTATTAGTATAGGATTTCTTCGGGTCCGGCTCACTAGTGTGTATCGGCTTCAAAACTGATTCGAAATCCGCATATATAACAAAAGGTACCATCATTTGTTTCTCAAAATTCTCAAATTTCAAAATATTTTCAGGTACTGAATTTCCAAATTTATCTACTTTGACTGCTGTAGTTGGTGTTGTCGTAAATGTGTGATTACAGTCGCTCAATTGATGGCGTAATAGCTTAGCCTCATCCGAAAAATGTATCAAACACCCATCGCAGAAAAATTTCTTATGCCCGTTCGAGGACATTTGGGCGGACACCAATCTAGATAAATGTTTTATCCAACAATAGTGGCTCTCACCCGAATCATTCGTTATAAGGAGCAAGTTCACATGTTTACTCATTCTTTTCTTCGAATAATAGAGTGGGCCGACAACGTGGTATTTAACTTGTTGATTTTCTATTACGCTTTCTAACCCATAAACGTTGATGGAGCAATCATTGAGTATTTCAAATTTTGGAATTTTACTCACTTTCATAGGAAACTCTATACCACTCAGATTCAAAACTGTAGAGAAGTGCGGGTATGAAGATATCTCACAATGTTTGGCCCTTGCTGGATATAGGGCGGACGTCACGGCCCAAGCAAAACAGCATTCATCCTGATTCACCACATTCACTACCGCCCTCTTATTGTCTATGAAACTAGGTAGTTTGATGTAGGAACACCCACGTAGCGGACTGTATTTATTGATGTTTATTTCGAGAAATAGTATTTTCTCTAGAGCCCAACCTGTAACAATGGAAAAGTGATTGTTTTATTTATTCAAAGAATTGAGTTATATAGGTGTGATAATGCAGATATTCAAATCATTCTCAACTCACCGGAATCGCGTTCCTCAAATTCAGTTGTTTGGTTCACGATGATGTCTTTGAATGTATCGATGATGGCATCCAAATCAAGGGATGAATCTACGATGTGATTCGGTGTCGCAAAGGATTTGATGTCGTGAAGATCCTGAGATTGTAGAATATATCTACCGAATACTTCCATATTAACCTTGATGGTGTGGTGAATCGACAGCATATTCCCCAATAGGGATGATAAAGTCACCTTATTTTCGGTAAAGAACGTGTTATAATCCAAGACATCCGTTCTACATTCCAATCTATAACTGATAATGCGACACTTGAATGCGTTTTCGATAACATATACACCATCTCTATAATTAACGCAAGCGTTCGAACGATGTTCCAAAGTCCTTTTGTGGGCAGCCATTTTATCGATTGGAACGGTTTTATTGCAAACGGTACACGCTTGCATGTTGCCAGACGTTGATGCTTGATGAATAGTGTCACTCAACCGCGGCCTCTTCGACATTGGTGGATCGAGATTTCCCACACACGACTTTTTTTGGTGGCGACGTAAATTGTCACTGCGGGTGAAAGATTGGCCACAAACGCAGGTCAACATGTTTATCACTCGCGAAAAGAAACGATAGAGTTGAACGATCGACGATGTCAGGAAGACTACAGTCTGGGCATGCAGAAATCGGATTTATAGAAGAGGGGAGTCGTGGCGTAGCCTCACCCCACTACACCATCAAACAGCCTTGGGAAGAAGAACACATGCGCACGAGAGTGGATACACTCAACCCAAGGCCACCACGACAATTGTCCGAGATGAAACCTCCGTATCCCTCCCAAGGTCACTCCCAAGGTCACTCCCAAGGTCACTTCTAAGACCACTCCCAAGGTCACTCCCAAGGTCACTCCCAAGGTCACTCCCAAGGTCACTCCCAAGGTCACTCCCAAGGTCACTCCCAAGGTCGCTCCGAATGTCACTCCTCCAAGGCCACCCCCCAAGGTAACTCCCCCCAAGGTCACTCCCCCCAAGGTCACACTCCTCTGGCCTTGGGGGGAGATTTGGAAATGGCTAAAGCCCTCTACTGGAGTTCATTTAGATGAGTTCGTGGGCTGAGACAAACACATGATGATATCAGTAAAAAACTCAGCTCAGTATTCTATGCCATTGTGCAATTGAAAAAACATCGAATTTGAGTACTCTCATTAGTGTATACTATTCTTTAGCTTATCATACAATGTCTGTCTATGGGGTAACGCTGTTAACTGGAAGAAAGTATATATCAATCAGAAAAGAATAATGAGACTTATCTTCAATATCCCACATGGTGACACATGCAGGCATGCCTATGAAAATAATAATATCCTAACCCTACCATCTCATATTTAAAACCCTCCTTTATGTGAAAAACAACTCGCAAAGGTTTTTTAAACATTCTGATTATCATAGATATTCTACCAGGAATGCTCATTTTGATATCACTAGACACAATCTATCTCGTACTGAAAAATCCCCGGACTATTTGGGAAAAAACTCTGCAATCATTCACCTCAAGAAATCAGAGAAATGAATTTGGCCAAGTTCAAATCGTCAATAAAGCGCATATTGACTCAGGGCGCTAATTATAATATAAATGAGTACTATATATGAATCTATTATTCCAAATTTTTTGGGATTTTCTCTCCTCGTTTCGTGTAGTAAGGACAAATCAGATGATTTGCCCCAAAATGTCACTGCGTTTAAAGAATTTTCCTATCAGAGAGCCTTAAAGGAAAATTCACTAGCTTGAGAAGAGAAATAAAAGTATGTAGAAAAAATATCAAATTTTCACTTATAAAGATTATTACAAATTATAATTCTCAGATGTCAGTTCGTTATAGTTCTAGTATGATGAATATCAATTCATCATACATCCAAAAATCACTTCCTCTACCGCCATTGAGCTATGGCTGGTTAGTCATGACTCACCCTGTAGATCGCTTCAACTGATTAAGATATACCCTGTATTCATGTAATGGAAATACGGATTTCATTCCATCGTAGTTTTCCTCGCTGTAGGTGAAAGTAGATACACCGTTCCTGGAAAACGGTCTCCACGGACTTGACTTATTGATCCCGGCAGCCATGTTGGAACAGGATCTTGTGCAATTTGTTGCCTGGCAACGTTTCCGCCCCGAGCTATTCCATTTCGTATTCCGTTTCAGCGTTTTCAGCCTGTCCCCCCAGTCTTTTCAGCCGCCACACTCAACAACAATGGGGATTCACGCTGGTACTGAAACTGCCCTCATGAATTTCCTACGAGGGCGACCGATTGTTTTTCAATTTGGCCCGTGAATTGTTTAGAAGCGTCACACCGTTTCTCAGTTTCTCGGTACATAATACATGACATCTATGTGACAAGGACGTTTCAATTTTCGAAGGAAGCACCGAGGAAAATTCCTATTAACCATAGTCAGAAATCGAATTACCCCTGCTAGAAACTCTGATAGCATAAGGGACAAGCGAGTTATCACCTGTGATTATAAAGTCGACTTTGCTGATTATAACCCACCTGCGATTATTAGATATAGAACCTTGCTGCCACTAGCGAGTGCATCTGTATACTGCTATTAGACGATGTTTCTGTAGTAGGTATCTGACTTTGCTACCGCTAGTGAGTGCATCTAATAATGGGAGTATGACAATGTTATAATCGTAGGTAGGGAACTTTGCTACTCTTGATGGGTGATCATATAGATAGTTGCATGACCTTCTTGCTGTAGTTATTCAGTTATTTTTTAGGATTGTTGTCATCAAGAAAGGTTAAATTTTGACTGATATTTAATTTCACTTCCCATAATTTCCACCCTGATGTTTGGTATGAATAGCAATTTATTGATTCCTAAAGAGAATTTCTGACCAATGATCTCTGAAATTCAATAGATCAATTGATTTATGCATCCTCAGGAAAACAAAAGGTTTTTGAGTAATTAATGAAAACAATAATTTTTCTGAAACATTCTGCAACTCGAAAACTAGGCAAGTTATTACAGATGCGTACAGGAAACCAAAATGTTACCAGTTAAATCATTTGAATAATTTCATAACCTGAACATTTTTGCTCACAATAAGTTTTTAGACCATATTCTATAGAGAAGCCCTGGAACATATTTGACAATTTTAAAGTTTCATGGTAACAAAAAGAATGAAATGTTGAATGCAAAATATTTGAATTTCAGTCGAAATACCTCGAAAAAACTCACCTCAGTCATTCCATCAATCCTGGTAATAGCTGAAGCACTCAGATCTACGAAAGCACTGAAAGGGACACAGAAGATTTTTTATTTCTTTAAAAATGTTTCCATTTCATATTTGAATTCAGATTCAGATTTTGAAAAATGAATTGAATTCAAGAGGGGAAGTATTCGTAACTGTCGTGTCGTCGAGATTGTCGTTCTGTACCAGCCTGTACACGGGTTTGCATCAAGAGCCCAACTGTGAATGATTGATCAAGCAAGATGTCTGACAAATGCTCATATAGAGGGGGACAAATCAGCAAAATATCGAATAACGATAAGTAGGCGCTAAATGACCCCAAGTAGGTTCGTCAAATATTATTTTCGTGGCAGACTGACAGTTGTATTATTGGTAGTGAGTGGAGTTCTATGCCATAAGCATATGCTAGTAGTAGTTCAGCTAGACAATAATTATAAAAAAATCATGCTGTCCCAGAGTGGCTGCCTGATAGCGACACAAGTATACCTTCCTGTGGCAGGAAATTCACTTTCACCAATGTCGTTATTGCTATCATAAGATTTCGAAGTGCTGCTTCTATTCGAAAATGTATAACGGTTATATGATTTCTTGTAATGGTAGCAAGAAATATCTCAGCAAAAACTCTAATAGCTCAGTGTGATTTATTATTTTAAATAACAAGTGAACAACTACCAATTAAATATATACTGGGACTTATATAAAGGTATAAGAAAGTATCATAGGACTACTCTTCTAACAAAATTATATGGAACTTCAAATGTATCATCACGAAATGACTTTGAAAAAGACTCTATAACACTAATTGGACCCATGCACAGAGGTTGCAGCATTTATTGCATGTTGAAATAATGTATATTACCCTAATTTTAGGATATCGTGAGTACCGTCAAGATTTATTGTTCGTCCAGGTCTTACTATTTGGCACGCAATGGACAACCTTTTGACGAAAATCAGAGACTTGCAGAATGTGAATCAACAGTATATGAACTACATGACAGATCACTTGTCAAACTTACATGATGAAGTGTCAAGAATGATAAAGACAGCGAGTCCACCTGTTGCAAATAGGATAGCCAATACTAGAACGAGAAGTGTCAATCTACGGCGACCTCAATTGCATCAAGAAACAACCATCAACAACAACAATCATATTGCCCGGTCATCATCTGCCAATCGTAACATGGTGACCAGAAGAAGACGCAGTGCTGGTGCTGCTGCTGGTGGACCCACGGTAATACTAGTGTGCCTAGAAGATCCGACTTTTAATGCTTTACTATGACATTTTCAATTTTCTCGAAAAAGTACACTTGTGCTTGAATGAAAAAGAGGCTGCAGCAGCAGTGTTTCTTGACCTTTCTAAGGCTTTTGACAGTGTATAAGTCATGAAATTCTGTTGCAGAAGCTTTTTCATTACGGTATTCGTGGTACACCTTTAGACTGGTTCAGATCTTATCTCAATGACAGGAATCAAAGAGTATCATTGTCAAGAAAGACTCCGATAAAGGTAATCTTTAAGGGGGGTCCCTCAGGGCTCAGTTTCAGGCCCAATTCTCTTCTTCATTTATATCAACGATATGGTTAGTCTAACCTAACTTTATTTGCAGATGATACCACGATTATCTGGCATAACGAAGATCGAACTAGTTTGGCTCAGTCCATTTCAGTGGACGTTGAGATAATTTAAAGTTGGTTTGATGCTAATATGCTAAAAAACAAATTTAGTGACATCCAAGTCTGAGGTTGAACAAATTACGATAGGAGATCAACTCATTGAGAGCAAGTCTATCACGAAATTTCTTGGTGTTCACAAAAAAATATCCTCCGGTTGCTTCGCAATCATTATGATATCCCGTGAACTCGGATTACAAGCTTCAATATCGGCATACTATACTCACTTATTGAATCGCATCTGAGGTGTGGAATTTCATTCTGGGGATGTAGCTGTAATGGTCTCTTGAATAGAGTTTTCGTTCTTCAAAAACGAGCTCTGAGATTTGTATTCAAACTCAAGACGCGTGACTCATGCAGACCAATTTTTCGCAATAATAAGATATTGACGGTCTTTGAAATTTTTGTTTTAGAAACAGTCTGTCTGCTTCACAAATATAAAGGAAATTTCATGAACACAAACATAGACAAGAATACGCGTAATAAAAGAAACCTTGCTCTTCCTCTGCCTAATTCAACTTTAACGAGACAATCTTTGATTTATAGGAGTAAAAAGATTTACAATCATTTACCTGATTATATAGCTATAATCAATGATTTGAAACACTTCCGGAAATCTGTCAAAGATATGTTAGTGGGAAAATGCTTGTATATAGTTTAGACGAATACTTAGCCTACAAATTCTAGTCCTTCTATGATATCTGAGAATTATTAGAGATTCATATTATTGATTTAAAAGAGACATGTTCTTTGTAATATTGAAGATGAAAACCACCAAATTGTGCAGATATAGAGGCATCAATACCAATCAATACTGAATGCTAAGATGTTTTCTGTTTTTTCAGCAAACATCGAGAAAATGGGATGATTTTACCACACAGCCAATAGGAACAAAATCATCAGATAGAATTCCAGGCATAGGACCAAGAGCTTATCAATCTCTAAATCAGATGAACTATGGAAGTGTAAGTAATCCAGGATTATGCAACACGTTGTGTAAACACCAGTTCTTCAGCTAAATTATTTTTTTGTACACCCTGACTCTTTTGAATTGTTTACCAGATAGATTTCCAACATGGAAAGTAATGTTCCAAAACTTCTTGCCTATAGGGCTCGATAGTTTTGATAAACGATATGTCATTCGTAAAACTATACTATAACAATGGGAGTATTCCCAAGAACCTCTAATCTAAATCCTAACTTCAGTTCTATATGATTTTCAGTTTCGGATCTACCTACTTACTTGCAAGCCCAGGATTTTGAAAATTCAAACTTACTTATGAAAAGAGGATTCCTGTCTATTTTTTACTCCGCAAATACTGCATTTCCTTCCACTAGACATGGTTAAAAAAGTTCAGTCAATGAAAAATAAACGAAAACACGAACACTAAAGAATTGTACAACTAAAAACGCAAATATTCGAATTTCAATCACAATCAATCACATACGCGCTAAAACCAATTTAAAAATTTGAAATTCGTAGCCATATTGGTTCAACAAGTTTCGAACAACAGAAGTTGGTCCCGCTTTGAGGACAGCTATGCTTCATTTATGAGTAGTAGATATATGATCAATATCAATAATGTCATTTCACTTTGCAGGCGAGAAGACTGCTTGGGAAATTTTTAGAATGCGAACGCCAGGAATTCTTGTCTTTCCTTGAAGAAAGGGTTGGAGTGTTACCCCACAACGCACAGAAGGCTTGGCAGTGCTTACATGACTACAATGCAAATTTTCTTTAATTAAGTGTTTATATTGATTGCAATTATTGTAATCCCTCCCAACCCTGTGTTCCCCCAATACAATGAACGATTTTTATGATATTCGAGGAATATTTTATGTATGAGATAGTATATAGAAGATAAGTTAGATATTATAATGACGTAAAAATAGGTTTTTATACACCATTAGGTATTAAAGAATTCCATATGTTTACTCTACACAACGTTTGAGTGATAGGTAAAACTAAGGAGAGTTATTATGGGACATGTCGATCATCAGCCATACCATACATACAAACAAAATAGTGGTTGTATACAATAGAAAAATACAAAAATGTTATAAACTAAAGTATTGTTCGAAGAATCAAATATAACCAAATAATTTTCATACCTTCTACCTTATTGCGTTAATTTGTTATTCTTTTTTTTTTTTTTTGAAGAATGATAAATTGATATTGATCATCTTCAGAAGATTTTGTTTTCAAATTCTTATCGTTAGCCTATATACACAGTATATGAAGTACTTTTTCTTAATTCATCTAAAATCTAAAAAACATCCACTTTTTTCGGTGGAAAAAAGTGTAATTATGGTCATCTTATTTATATCGCTATATTTTTTTTCAATGGTGCCATTCCTTAGTACACCTTGAGTCATCTTAGGGTTTAAATTTAGCGGCGCATTTCTCACCATATATACAACATTTTTTTCAGGAAGGAAGGAATGCTCGAAGTCATTTCCACAAATATCAATGGTGTTGTTAAACAATCAGAAGGGACATGTTTCGTTCTTATAAAAGACCATCTTCAGACTAATTAAAAGTTCTACAATACATATTCAATTGCTCAGACAAAAAAAATCTCCCATTGTTGGTATATTATACAAATTGAGGTCTTTTATACCTCTTAAATACTTGAAATTAATTTATTTCAGTTTGATTTACTCTAAATTGCAGTATCTGATATCGATCTGGGGTACTGCAGCAAAATCTGTCTTGAAACCTCTCAAATCTCTTCAAAATAAAGGCATAACATGTATTTTTAAACTACCAATTCTGGAATCAACATCTAGACTATACAAACCAAGGTATCTGCTAGATATTGACTCTCTCTTCAAAATGGAAGTATGCATTTTCATTCATTTCACTAAAAATAAGAAGAAGCACTCGAATCTTACTTTCAATATCAATTCTGATATCCATGAGCATCACACCAGACAAAGTGAACATTTCAAAACTGTCAAAATAAAAACCCAATTCGGGAAAAAATCATTGTATTTTTGTGGAATAAATATTTATAATAGTCTACCCAACAGAATAAAATCTATTAGGTTCGTCACAAAATTTAAGTGTGAACTGAAGAAATATATTTTATCAATTCAACTCTCTCCTTGTATCAATTAATTCTGATTGAACTGTTTATCTTTCATTGTATTGCATATTTGATATATTTATTATATATATTTTTTTGTTTCCCTCTATAAACATTGTATGTTTCTTGGGATCAATAAATGTTATTATTATTATTAAAAATATTGATGTGAAAAAATTACATTATTTGTTCTTGACTCACTTTTGGAGTTGAAAAAGTGTGCTGCTATTAGCTGTAAAATTATTGTCAATGCCCATAGTCGAAAGATCGAGTTCATAAGTAATTAAACGGGTCCTCAATAAATAAAGGCTCCCGTGCCCTGAGAATGGAAATTTCATGAACCAAAACCCATTAAAATTTGTGGATATGACTTCGAGCATTCTTATACCTTCCTTTGAAAAATTTCACCCCACTTTGAGCAATATGGACTTCTACCAAAGATTATTTTTTCAGGGTTTCTTACTCATCTGGTATACACTGAAATGGCGCCCCTGGCTTTGTTCGTCCATTATCCTGCATACAATATTATTGATCCTTTTCTACGCACCTTCATGTATTTAGCATTCGAACACACTGCAGCAATACGAAGCAAACAATAATATCTTCTGTAATATTAAGTTACTCATATTGGAAGGCAGGGAATTAAGTTTAGCCTGATGCGCACGTGGTGGCTCTGTATCATTGCACGTGTCTTCGTTAGTGTAATGAGACATTCTAGTCGGGACACGTGGCCTGCTCCCCCAAATCCCAAATTATGCGTTGTCTCGGTGGAGAACGTCCTGGGGATCAATCGGGATTACATATAGCCCATATAGTCGCTGGCGGGTTATTTCTTTCCCAACGAATATCGAACAGAAATTCAGCTCTTTTCTGATTATATCGGCATTATTTCCACATGTAAAAACTTCACAATATTACGAGCAATATGCAATAATTATGCAACTGCATTATGCAATAATTACATATTATTCAATTTCATATTCAAATTTTGTTGTAGTTGTTATCTGATAATAAGAACAATAAGGAGAGCAAGTGAGAAGTGTTTCAAATACTCTCTGAAAAGGTATAGCTATTCATTTACTTATAGATAGTCCCTCCTTATTGTTTCTTCAAATGACAATTTGAGAATCATATCAATATATTTGTAGTAGGACAAACAAGGTGTCACTGATTATGAGCAATTAATTTCTCTTCCAGATTTCTAAAATTGTTCTATCCGTCATTCGGTTGCCCCCTTACGAGCAACCCTCAGAAGTCTTCGAAAGTCTTGTACGAGCAAGGAATGACGGGGGCCTTATACCTTTTAACGTGTGATCCCAAACACTTTCTTAGGCCATCAGAAAAAGTCTGCGTTCGTGGGACTCGAACCCACGATCGTTACCTCGACGTGAATCGATATTGAAGCATCGAAGCACTGAGGTACGCCGGCCTTCTAAATGAAAGTAAAATTTTTCCAACACAGATACACTTCTGGTCTGGAGGTCGAAGTAATGTGAATAATTATTGGTTGAGTAGTGTTATTGTCATCTCATACCATTCAAAAACTATCACTCAAAACACCTAATAATGGAGTTAAACTTACACACTGAGGAAAATTGTGCTATTAGAGTTATTTCTTGCTACAATTACAAGAAATCATATTACCGTTATACATTTTCTTATAGCAGCCACTCTGGGACAGCATGATTTTTTGTTTACAATTGCCTAGCTGAACTACTACTTGTGGCTGCGAGGTTCATCGCATAGAACTGCACTCACTACCAATAATACAACTGTCAGTCTGCCACGAAAATAATATTTGACGAGCCTATTTGGGGTTATTTAGCGCCTACTTATCGTTATTCGATATTTTGCTGATTTGTCCCCCTCTATATAAGCATTTGTCAGACATCTTGCTTGATCAATCATTCACAGTTGGGCTCTTGATGCAAACCCATGTACAGGACGACAATCTCGACGACACGACAGTTACGAATACTTCCCCTCTTGAATTCAATTCATTTTTCAAAATCTGAATCTGAATTCAAATATGAAATGGAAACATTTTCAAACAAATAAAAAAATTGTCTGTGTCCCTTTCAGTGCTTTCGTAGATCTGAGTGCTTCAGTTATTACCAGTACCAGGATTGATGGAATGATAAAGGTAAGTTTTTTCGAGGTATTTCGACTAAAATTCAAATATCTCACATTCAACATTTTCCTTTTTCTGGTACCATGAAACTTTGAAATTGTCAAATATGTTCCAGATCTTCTCTATAGAATGTGGTCTAAAAACTTTGTGAGCAAAAATGTCCAGGTTATGAAATTATTCGAATGATTTTACTGGTAACATTTTGTTTTCCTGTACGCATCTGTAATAACTTGCCTATAGTTTCCGAAATACAATGGTTTCAGAAAGTTTCAGAAACATTCTTTTTTTCAACAATTACTCAAGCATCTTTTGTTTTTCCTGAGGGTGCATGAATCAATTGATCTATTGAATTTCAAAGATCATTGGTCCGAAATTTCCTCTAGGAATCAATAAGTTGCTATCCATACGAAACATCAGGGTTGAAATTATGGGAAGTTAAAGCTGATATCAGTCAAAATTTCACCTTTCTTGATGACAACAATCCTGGAAAATAACTGAATAACTACAGTAAGAAGGTCATGCAACTATCTATATGTTCACCCATCAAGAGTAGCAAAGTTCCCTACCTACGAGTATAACATTGCCCTACTCCCATTATTAGATGCACTCACTAGCGGTAGCAAAGTCAGATACCTACTACAGAAACATCGTCCAATAGCAATATACAGATGCGCTCGTCAATGGCAGCAAAGTTCTATATCTTATAATCGCAGGTGGGTTATAATCAGGAAAGTCGACTTTATAATCACAGGTGATAACTCGCTTGTCCCCTACCCAGACAGCACCAGATATTCCATGAATCTCCCTATCATATTCCTTTTGGGATATTGGAATATTCTACAAATAATCTGGAATATTCCGGAATATCTGTGGAATATTCTCTAAATATGCGAATGGGAATTCCTCAGATATTCATAGAATATATCCAAAAGAATATTCCATGTTGAATATTCCTGGAATATTCCAATAAACATATTCTAAAATAAAAAAAAAGTGAGCCAAGTAGGGATCGAACTCGTGACCTCAAGACTATCAGACTAACGCCTTGACCACTAGGCCAGTAATCGAATTGAATAATGTTGTACATATAAATTTCTTCTGAGAGCGTTGTTCGAAATCGGATCATAAACACTTTTTGTTTCAAAATCCCCTTATACATCTAATTTTGATGTTCGATACTCACAACTCTGAAATTATGATGGGTATTTATGTGTTGAGAAACATAGGAATATTCATGGAATATTTCATGAATATACACCACAGAATATTCAGTTGAGAATTTTTCATGAATATACCGCACAGAATATTCAGTTGAGAATATTTCATGAATATACAAGAAAGAATATTCATTTGGGAATATTCCTGGGAAATTCATACCTGAATATTCCCTGAACATATCCGACTATCCACTTCGGAATATTCCTTTTAGATGTTCCAGAGGCATGTATATATTCTAGGAATAATAGATGAATATTCGGAATATACTCCTCCTTTTTAGCATATTTAGAGAATATTCTAGGAATATCCAGTGCTGTCTGGGTATGCTATCAGAGTTTCTTGCTGGGGTAATTCGATAAACTGAGACTGATTCTGTTGAAATGCAGGAATATGATTGTGAGAAACGATTGAGGTTTTGTATTCTTAGAAATCATAACCATTCCTTAGTTGTGCTCTCGTTGTATTCAATTTATAATGTTTGCTTCGCTTCTACAGAATTTTTCTTGATACGCAGCATTCAACAATCATAGTGTACCAAACGACGCCCTGAATCGATATTCCTGCACATTGTCGGAAACGT